TGATGATTGACAAAAAAAAAGAAGAAGAAGATCGCATCAACGTTTCGAATAACATATAGGATAAAATAGTAAGAAAGCACTAGCCATGTTCATCGTGTAATATTAGTCTTAACCAAGGTTCCATCAAAGTACAAGCATAAACGGCAATTGCGTTTTTCTTTTGATTTTATTCCATGTGATTTTTTCCTGTTTTTCTTTTATTTTGTACATTTTGCTTATTAGAAATTCCAAGTATGCACTGAATATTATTCAGCGAAAACGAAAATGATTCTTTGCGATGCCTTTGATGCTTGATTGTTACACAAGTTTTGTGAATCAAAGCGAATCAAAGCATTTTAATTATTCAAATTGCTCCAACCGAAGAATCCAATTATGATCGTACTGATTTTGAACACAAACCTTATTCAAAATTTTCTCATTTCGATGTTTTACACCCATAAAAGTGCGGTTCTATTGGATATTGCCGTTGTTATTGGCACCATCATCATTATATATCAAATTCCATTGTCGTTTGTTACGGTGACCATGCATTCGCTGAGCAATAAATGCACCGTTGTTCCATTCACAATGAATCTCTTGCTTGGTTCAGAAGCGAATGTAATTTGTATGGAAGCCAAAATCCAAAGAGGAATAGTGACAGACACTTGCGCATACAATCACGCATCAAATTACTCTATCGACATCCGATAGAGCCATTGAAATGGTGACTAGAACCATATTATATTGTATTTTTCTTCGATACTTTTATATTGTATCTTTGCATAGCGTAAAAAGGAATTATATTATTTGTGGTTTGAAATGCATTTGCTTAAAAATGGGGGAACGGTATACTCTCGTTACACAATGAACAAAAAATTCTTGTAAAGAAATCCTCTTGCTTATTCGAATTCAGTCAACTGACTTAAGATGGTGTCGCTAGACCCCTCATGATCCGTAGTTCTAAAACACTTGAATTTTACTTTAAAATCATCTTTAATGTGATCCGTTTGAAATAAATCCTTATAAATCATTTCAATCATGTTTATCCACAAAAAATTATATTTTCATATCAAAACTGCCACTGATAGTTTGGCGCACAAAACACTGAAATTAAAACTGATCGAACCACAAAATTAAATGGATGGATGCAGAAAAAATGCTCAAGATTATATGCTAAACCCTTGAAATATATTCAATGTACCCGAAAAAACTCAACCTTTGAGAACTTGTAAATATCATTTAGGCATGCCATTGCAGACACCCCCCGCCAGTTATTATGTTCTTTTTTTTGGTTTCTTGTTCACACGGTGCTGCAGCATCAGCAAAATATCGTACGTTAATTTTGTTAGTTCCAAAACGAAAAGTCAAATTGCATTGATTTAACTCAATGAGGGCGCTCGCGTTGGAGTTTCATTTGTTGCCGCACTGCGGTTTTTTGGGCCGATTCTCGGGAATCCCACGCATTATTATTCAGTTTCGGTTGAATAAATCGCATTTTTCATATTTGGCACTGACACAACTGCCTATTTGTATAGAAAGTCGACTTCACTGAGCTGGTCATACTTAACTTGGACGTCAGTTTGATAAGCAGGTAAAACGAGGAATGCCAAGTTTAATCTAAAAAATAACTTTTTTACTTTCAATAAGGCACCTTCCCTGCATTTGTGCATAAATTTCGAAAACTTATACTCTTGCACATTACATTCTTCATGAGGATAAAAGAAAGCGGAGGCGCCGCACGTGCATGCATTATTGCATTGTAATGGTATGTTCAGGTGGATCAAAATACATATCTTCATATGTATATGCATATATGCTTTTGTTAGGGTAATGACACCTTGCTTGCATAATAAATCAAGCACTTTTGATCACACTCGCCAGCTATCGGCGCAAACGTGCTCTTGGGAGAAACTTAAAATGAGCATTTTTCTCTCTGTGAGAAAATGCTCTAATATTCACTTGACCAGTCATTGGCATTACTTATATGAAAGTGTTTGCACACGAATATTTCAAGACTACTTTGTTCGTTCAATAATGGATTCAGTATGCCATAAAAAACGATTTGTTCTCGTTAAAAGTTATTTTTTCATCGATACAACTTTCTCAATTCACATTTTTAAACAAAAAAAAGTGCTCAAATTCCGGTAAAAACGCTTGTACGTCTTTCAGGAGATTTCAACAATTAAGCACAAAACATTAAGAGAAAAGGCAGATGACGTTGAATGCATAGCGATTGCACCATTCGCTTCTATTTTTTTTGGCTAGACTAATTACATAGTTTGTATATTTAATGGCAAATAAGCAGAAAAACACATCAAACATCGATTTATTTTTACTTTTCGTTACGTTTGCTTTGTAGTATGGGCGTATTTGTTTAAATTTAATAATGAGTATTTGCTTATACATTTTCTCATTCTTCTAAACTTTAACGCACATCGAAAGAAAACTCTTCACACCAATGGTACAATTCTATCATTTGTTCCCACGCTAAATTATTTAATTGTCATTTTTAGAAAATGGCATGAATTGCACATTTCATTAAAACCTTTTAAATATAGTTTCACAACAATGTATGTGACAATCGACCATTCTTTGTATGTACTATACGATCGAATGAATGTTTTCTCTTTGTTGTTCGCTACGCTCTGGCACACGTTAAATAAAATACACGTTATTTTTTTGTCTTCAAAACAGAGTCCAACGACAGTGAACATTAACGCTACTTCGGCTGTCTTTCACTTTACTTTGATTTAATTATATTTTGTGTCGATAAACCGTAAAAAGAAAATATTCACATTGAAAATTCAGAGTAAATTTTGGCACGGGAAAAAGTATCGGAATGAACTATCGAGTTAATAATAATAAAATAATGCGATTACACAGAAAGAAATTGATTGAAATCACAATGGGTATGCCTTTTGGTCACTTCAATCCAAATGAATATTCATTAATTACACGCATTACAGACGACGTGGTCACGATGTCATGAATGATGATAAAATCATTTGATATATATGAATACGCAAGTTTTAAGTATGTCTTTGCGAACTTATTTCTTTATATATGCATTTCTGTACAAAACAACAACAACGGCGACAAAATTTGGAGACTCAACTTAATTCTTCTCAGCTCACTTCTTTTGGATTCGTTTTAACACAATGTTTCTCAAAAATAAATGAAGCGAGATGTTTTTGTTGTTGTTGTTGTTATTTTTTTTTTCTTGCAACACGAACAGTGTACATTTTTCATTTTTGCTACCGCTATCGGCAGTTTTCGGATCCAAACGAAGCGGATGGGCATGGCTATTAAAAATTATTTTGCATAATTTATTACTTTGATGGAGGAAGTGAAGGAACTGAACATTGCTGTTGGCATTTTATATTGGAATAAATCGAATTATGTTCGAATTTTTCTGTGTGGTGTGCGAATGATAAAAAAAACAGTGTTTATCTGTGTGCCTCGTATGGCATGTTTGCTTAGTTATAATCAATAAATTTACCGTGTGTTCTTCGCGGTAGACTTTCTCTCTAAATTCAACCATTTAATGGATTTCGCGGTCTATTTTGCATTTTAAACTGTGTGAACAGCATAAAAACACGCAATTTTGCATAACATTTGCCATCAGCCGTCTGTTTCCCGGAATGTTTTAATATTTTTTTTTTTTTGACTCATTTGGAATAGACTAGACAAACATCATCACATAACTATATTCCAAACTTGTCTCAACTTGAAATATAGCAAAGATATAGGGAAACAAGTAATGAGGTTCCCCTAGTGGAAGTAATTATTACACGACGAATTCACTGAATGTTTGACAAATTTCTCCGAAGTCTCCTGCCGTCGATGATGACGTTGTCTGTTTAATCTTTCTCCAAGTGTGTCTGTATTTCATCATTAACATATTCCATTCAAGCATTACCCACTTTTGATTCCATTTATACCAATTTGTCATTGTGAAAACAATTTCAGTTTTATTTTTCATTTCCGATATTGGTATCGCTTTCTTTCTCTTCATATATAAGAAAAAAGAATTCAATCCCCAGATTTGTACCTTTCAAATTGCAGACGGATTTTATTTCCATATGTTTCGTTACTTCTTCGAGTAAAAACCGATCACTCTCTAATTGACGTGAGATCTTCTTGTGTGTACTTCGCGTTTTCTATAAAGTGGAAGTTCTAATTGCATAAAATGTGTCAAGTTATCGAGTCAACATAAAGTGTGCAATTTCAATTTGCTGCCAACATATAATCAGCCAGTATGGTTAGTGATTTAGTGTATTCATTGTGGATATGGGTTTTCAGCTGACATTTTTCGGACGTGTTTACAATTTCTATTCCATGCAGTGTTTTTGCTGTCGGTTTTTTTTTCTTTCATTTTTGTGACATGAACTAAAAATCGGTGCACACTTTCTACAAACTGAGAAAATTGAATGGCTTATCGTATAAAGCATACACTCGATGACAATGTTGTGTGATGCAGATGATGAAGAATGTTGAATTGAAATGTTTTTCAATTATAATTGAATTGTCAAATTTGGACATTTTCAACCATTCAGCCAAACTTATCTTTGCCATTTTTCGTAGTCGTAAGCTATTTAAGACTCGTAACTATCTGTTTCATTTGAAATCACATTAAAATATAACTATTGTAGCGTCAAGCGCAAACATTGGTAACAAAAGTTTGTATGACGAAAAATATTGGTAGTTAAAAACGGATTGAAGAACGTGATGAATCTGTCATAAGAAAACAACGATTCATGCGAAAAAAAAGTGAGAATCAACCGACGAAAAATAGAAAATATTGCTCAAGCTACTTAAAATTTGAATATATAGAAAAGAAAGAAAGTAACAAAAAATTGTACCTGTCTTGGTGTTTGTCATTTTTATTAAGGTGAACTGAGTAGATTGACTGTAGTGAGTTACTTTGTACAAGCTACAAACTGACTCTTTTTATTACGGTTTTGATCATTTTTTCTCTTTCGTATTTTTTAAAACACTTTTTTGTTTGCCTTTCATTGCAGGTTTATTCTTCTTTGAAATTCTCATACAAAATGAATCGTGGAACAAAAGGTCTAGAAATGTGGTGCCGTCGTCAAATTGAAGGCTACCCTGGTGTTGAAATTCATAATATGACTTCATCTTGGAAGAATGGCATGGCTTTTTGTGCATTGGTTCATCACTTTCGACCAGATTTAATGTAAGTACTTTCGTTAGTGAATGTGTCTTTTCTTATTGCCTGAAACAGCCGCCTGTTGTCTAACGGTAAGAAAAAACGCGAATAGTGAGATCAAATTAAGGTTTAAGGTTATTAATGACTTAGTCCCAGATTAAAATCGGAATATATTAAATCTGAAGTTTTATGAAGCGCACCTCTCCAACTGAGTTTTCGAAAAATACAAGCAGCACTTAATCTGGCTGACAATCAATTTCACAGAACCATAGCAAGAAATCGGAATGGACCTGACCGCGCACAAGCATCATTCTGTTCACAATTCACATTATTTGATTTTAATTTGACAAAGTTGTGTGTGCGTCTGCACGTGTGTGTGAGTGAGTGGAATTAGTGCCAAGAAAACCATATAATGGAAATTTAATGATCAAAATCTATCTTCCAAACACGGAAATCATGAAAATATGGGTGATGAATTTTCAGCACGTAATACACACTCTCTTGACATATAAACTCAAAAAATGAATGTGGTAAATGTAATATTGAAATGATTTTCGAATTACCACTTCAAAACTTACTCTCTATTAATGTACTACATACTTCATTCCACGAAAGTAATTTTTGTTTCTGTCTCTTTTCATTCTTCGCCATCGAATAGCCTCAAGTTATAAAAAATGAGAGCTTGGAATAGTTTCAAACAGAGTCGATCGAATGCGTGTGCTATAATCAGAAAGAACCCAATTCGTGTTTACATGTTACTTTTTAATTGGTCCATCTTAGACATGTTTATAACTCTCCTATTATTAATATGCATGTAATCAGAGCAACTCGTAGAAAGTTGGTTGTCATTTTGCATATTCCCTTCGCTGTGTGCTATTCGACCCACTGATGTTGCTGGCCGATTGGCATTGTCGTAGGTTCACGATACACTAGTGCACTCGACCATAAATATGTGACATCTACACACGTTTTCCCCATGCTACACGATAAAATATGTGCAACTTTATATGGCTTTTGTACGCATTTTCTTTCAATATCATGGCCACCATTGTCTTAATTCTACTAATCACAGAAGTTTCAAAACATGTTTTTGAATAATGGAAACCTTTTACAACAAAATGAACAACACAAATTTACATCTTTTGTTTATTTCACGTGATAAATCATTCGTTTTTTTTTGTTGTTTTTATATATTTATTTTGAGGAAAACTCGATTTTTTTTGACAGAAACTCGTTAAACCGATGAAATATTTTTTTTCTTGGGTTTATAATCTTCTCTGCTAACTGTAAAAGTTGTGGCGTGTGTATTATGCATAATTGAACATTGAATCATATCCATAGAAAAAAATTTAATTTTAGATTCTGGTCTTAAATTTATTTTTTGTTTTTTTTTTACTTGACTTTCAGTGATTTCGACAAATTGAACAAAGCCGATGTTTACTACAACAACGAGGTAGGATTTTGAAAATTATGAAAAATTATGGATAAACTTCTGTTTAAAATAAAAAAGGCCGCAAAGTCACATAGTAATTGCGGTGTTTCTAGCATACAAAGGCCAAAAGGACAAAATTTAGAAGCTGTATCATGTGTCGCAATAAGCCAAGAATCGTTCATGGAATTTTTTTTTGTCCATGGATGCTTTTTGATGAGATGGTCATAAAATGATTTATAACAGTTATAGCGTGTTCCCATACAGCAATTAAAAAAAAAGATTTTTGATATTTTTTCTGCCATAATAAGTCATATAAATAATCTTTTTTCTTTTTAATATTCGTATGTCTTTCAACAATTCAACTATACTAGTTGGCATTCACACTGGCTGAGAAACATCTAGGAATTCCTGCTTTGCTTGATGCAGCCGATATGGCGATGTATGATGTTCCTGACAGACTTTCGATACTAACATATTTGTCACAGTATTATCAGCGTTTTGCATCACAGGGTGAGTTCACAAATGGTTTACCAAATATGATGGAGAAATTGTTTCGAAAAATAAATGCTTGTAATTTAACGTTTCAAATTAGAAAAAAATAATTATGACTACATCATTTGGACTGAACGACCCAAAATAAAAACCACATCGGCTTATGGTCATGGCACATTTTCATTGTGTGTATCAGTTTTATTACTCTACACGTTTGATCTCTCGCCGTGAAGTACGTGAGAGCTTGTGTGTAATATTGGTGTTTTATGTGGTGTGAAAAAGACGTAGTGTCTCACTAACTTTTTCTTGAATTTAATGAAATGCTTGTCGCGGTACGTGTGACTTAATATCTGCATTTATACAAATGAAAATCTACAATGGTGCCATAGTTTCAGAGCAACATTTACGTAATTTGCATGCGTCCAAAAGTCAAAGACCTGACTTTTCAATTACATGAAATTATGATGTCAGAAACTAACAGTATCAAATAAAGTTTGCTGCTGTTTGCCCATTTATAATTTATACAAGACTTTCCATTCTTGTGTTCTGGATTCGTCGAATGCAATAATAGATGAATGATGAGAGAGAGAGAGAGAGAGAGAGAGAGAGAGAATGGAAAGTCTTGTAGAAAATATAAATGAGCTACTTGAAATTGCTTGGTGCCGATTGTGCCAAAGACTTGAATCAATTGCCATAATTTGTTATCCAATTAACTGCCCGTCGTTTATTGCATCTAATTTTTATTGTTAACACAATCCCGTACAAAGTCTGAATTTTTCCCAATAATGTGCACCAAAATGATAGCACACATAAACACACTCATGCTGCATAATGCATATGCAGCTCATTTTGATCTTCGAATGGCATCAAGATGAAACATTCAAGCTGCGCAAACTGCTGCGCTTTTTTTTCGTTGCTCTTTCTCCAATATAAATGGACTTGCCATGTTTCGTTTGTTGTACATGCATGCGCGGCAAGTGACAATAATAACAATAATCGAGCAAAGGCATTTGAATGCGCAAGTGTGGAAAAAATACAAGCAAGTGAAATGCAATGAGCAAATAGAGAGAGATATATATATATATATATATACTCAAATGACCATGGTCGTCAGCACCAATATAAGAAATAAATTTTAATTAAAATAACTCGAACTATTAAATTCGCTATCTAAAATCAGACACGAGTGATGTTGTTTATTCAGTTACGCCGTTGATAATGTTTTTTGTATATAGGTATGTTTCTCTCTCTCTTTTTTTGTTTGGTGCGTCTCTCTCAGTTCAGTGGCTAATGTGTAATTGTGTCGTGATAATTATTTATATACAACGCCAAGGAAAGAAGAGATGAAACAAGACCGCAGAGCTTCGCTTCGCTCCGCTCTGCGTTCTTGAGTTTTTAGTTACTTAATCTATTTTGTTGTTTCACAACAAACTATTTTTTGGCGCACTACATGAAATGTATTTCATCAAAGTAACTTTGAAGTAATATATTTATTTGCAAAATGAATTAGAAGATCTTGGTTTAATTTTTTTTTTTGAAATATACTGCCTTCGGTTTAAATTAAATAAATAATATGAGCATAGAATCTAAAATCACTTTAATTCTGTTCAAGACTCAGAAAATACTATACGAAAAATTAATGTAATTTTAGATATTATGCACTTATTTGTCGTTACTGCCACTGTTTTAAACAACACTGTCTAGCTCATATGCTATAGCAATGTTTGACGTTTAGAACTACTGTGGAAACTTTGTTGGGAGCGCCACCAACCACAAATCTCTGTAACTATACGTACGTGTGAAAGTAAAGTCTTTGTGTGTACGTTCGTGTGAATGCAAAGAGTCTATGTGTGCGTTGTACACAGAGGTGTTGATTCGTTCGAACATCGCATCCAATGTCGCATCATGTTAGGTGGCGCTATTGATATACTTTGCTTCAATCGTCAACAAAATACATCAAGTATTTCTCCGTTTTGGTTTTAAATTGAATAAAAAATATGAGTATAAAATTCAAATTCATCATAATTTGTTTCAACACTAGTATCACTAGTTTCACAAAAAGTATCTAGGAAAAAAAAGCAGATTAGTAGCTCTACATTTCATGTAGTGCTAAAAAGAGAAAAGACCAAGCAAAACTGCGTGTGCTCGCTGTTTGTTGCAGCGACACAATCGCAAGATAGCCAAATAGCGATTTCTCTTGAAGATTTCTTCTGAATGTAGTACTACATTAACGAAAACATTGCACATAAATCAATTCAGTGCCTATGATAATATCACAATAAATGTTATATGACTCATTGGATGATTCTGATTTACGAAAAATGTATATGTATATACGGGTACGAGTAAATCATAAGTAAGCGTCATCATACATGAATTCAAAGCCAAGTGTTAAAAGCAGCGCTCACTCGGTTGCGCTTGCCCACAGAAAATAGAATGGAATTGAAAATAAGAAATCTATGATGGTAATAACTACAATAATCGTTATCATGTAAAACATCAAACACCTTGAAATAGCTCTATCGTGATGCACAACCGATGCAACGGTGATGATTTCTCTACTCCTTGCGATTACCAACGCGCTGCTTTGCATTGATGACCACATTTATGTTGATGGTTTTCTTTCTATCTCACCATTTCCGTTCATTTCTAAGCAACTTATAAGTGCAATTACAAAATTGCGTCCCACACTGTGATCTTCGTCCAATGAATGAATACAATGCTTCATCACCAATAAATTGAGAGACATTGTTCCTTTCTTTCTTAATGCACATCCAAAAAAAACTTAAAATTTGTCTGCCAACTCAAGCTGTCTTCAATTTTCACAACGGCTCAATTAAGAGAAACTGCTGCATACATGGAATGAAACGTTGAAATTGGTACAATGGGTTAACAAACTTTTGATTTTCATCAGCTACACCGTCACATCGTCAGTCCGTTTTGTTTGCCATAGCGGAAATGACACAAACCATATCCAAATCACGATGTTGAGGATTTTGACTTGAAAGTTTCACATTTCGAATCGCACGTGCTATTTGTTGTGTCTTTCTGCATAATTGAAGCCATTTCCTATTCGTAACGTCTAATGATTTATTTTAAGATGTTCACAAAATGCTTTTACATTTCGAGAGAAAAAAAATTGGTTTTAAATAACCAATGAAAATTAATTACCATTGATGGAGCGATTACTGAAACCTTGCTAACCACCTAATAAAAATGTAAATTTCTCACTGAAGAGAAAGGTAATGATTGATATTGAAAAATATTAAATGAGAATGTGAATGAATTTAAAAACGAAATACGCGATATTTATTGAGTGCCCGACTAAAGTGATAAGATTGTAAGCCATAAGATCTCGAATGTTGCGGATTTCCGAAGCGATTATTTTTGTGGCTGGCGATAGACTCAACTGCCAAGTGGGTCAGCTGACCAAAAAACAATTTTGACAGCTCGGAATGAGTCGTTTTTGATATCAATCCACATAGAAATGAATATATGCATATAGTCGTAAAACAACCGTTTAAACAATTTAAGCTGCTCTTTCAACCACCAAAATAGATTTCTTCACCTATAGGCGCGAAAGTGTACTTCGTTGAAAAAGCAAACGTTATAACTTATGCATATAATAGTTGCCGCCGCAAAAACGTGATACTTGTGGTAATAATCGATTTCTTACCTATGTCTACTTTCAATGGGCCATCATTTTCGTTACCAACATTTGAAAAATGAAACAATAGCTAGGCGACTTGAAAAGGTTGTAGAATTAATTTGTTTCGTCTTTTTGCTAGGTTTTTTTTTTCGTCTGTTGTTGTTGTGAAAATGACCATGCGCTCCCATGAGTATTCTCATCCAACAAGCTCAAAGAACACACAACAGTTTCACATGTTTTCACTACCCCATGCTATTGCGAACATGCTGCGCAAAATTTATTGATAACTCTTGACTGACCCGCTTATTTATACCAAATGAAAAGAGATTGTTCGTGTTTATTTTTCACATACATTTGAAAGCATTTTGTTTCTTCGGCTTTTACTCCCATAAATTATGGTGGTACAGAGCTCAAACAAACACTAAATAAACACAAATTTTCTCCCATTAAACTCTTGACACATTTCTGAACAGATACAACGGTCAGAACGTTTAATTTGAATTATCATCTGCAAAAAAATAAACGAAGCACTAAAATTGAAATTATCGAATTTGAAAACGGAAAAAAATTAAATAAAATTCAATAAATCGCTTATAGAATCAATGGACGGTATAAATGCCCCGAAGAAAGTAAAATGTATTATTTCACTTTTTGCTTTTTTTCCACAAAATAATCTACAAGCTGGGTCTAGTGTTGTGTTTACATTCATTTCAAGTTTTGACCTGCATCGCACTTACACGTCTGAATCTTTTCTCTCTTTCTCTCTATCGTTTCGATTGCCTCTCGCTGCAGTCATAATCAGAGTGAAAAAAGTATGGCTCTGTTACTTTTATGGGTTCGTTGTATGCGATGGTTTTATTTTTATTTCGTTATTTTTAATTGCAATCGGTAGTCGTTGATTTACAGCGCGAGCTGGTCATTGCACTTGCATTGCGCTGCGCTGATACATATGTATGTAGAAGCATATGTGCTCACTACTCACTATGTGTTCAAACAGTCACTATAAAAATTTAGCAAAGTAATAGGTTTCGTTTTCTGTTTCAATGCAGACTCTGTGAATGTAAACTGGCGATTCATTTCCAATGCCTTTTTGTTATGCGGTCACTCAAATAATGAAATTGAAATGAAGTTTTTTTTTATGAATTAACATTCAGACGGAGATAAACACGAGACAAATCGTAATAGTATGTATATCATATCACGTGTGGAAAGAGAAAAAAAGAGATCTGGTGAACTAGCGACGAACAATAACAATAACAACAACACATAAATGGTGCGACGATATGTTAGTCAGATTTGAATTTGTTATTTGATTTAAATTGCAATTGAATTTAATCTTTGGTTTTTCTCTTGATCAGCCGAGAAACAT